AATGATTGTAAAATTCCGATAAACTTGAACAAATTTTTGAGCAAAAACTAAATTTTAAAATGATGTCTCATTTTCGAAACCCATTATACTATATAACTCGCACAAATAAAGCATTAATTAAGGCTAAGTTAAAAAGTTAAACAAAATTTTAAAGTATTGAGTCTCAACTTGTAAGTCGCTAAAAAGAAAATACTGTTATGCTTAGAATTATTGTTTTTTGGAAAAATTATTTCGTGGTTTCATAAACGCCTAGCACCAGCGGTGTCAACGGTGTCAGCGGTGTGGAATGGTTGAAGGTTATTAATTGAAAAACTGGTAGTGTACGAACGGATGTCCTCACTGCTGATGAAAAGATTTTTTAGTGACATATCATGCACCAATTTTGGTATGCTCAAGGAGTAAAGGAGTGTTTTGAAGGTAAGACCCTTTGAATTGGCAATTTCATGTGTTTCATTAGGGCTGCTAATTCTCACACGAAAGGTTTTGTTTCCTCGCTCTATGTTTAGATTTGATATTACACTGGGAAGATATAAGAAAAAAAATCGAGCGCATCATGAGTAATATGCCACAAAAAACGAACTAAACATAAAACTGAAAAGTTGAAAAGTTTTGAAAAATGTACACGTGCAACCAGAAAGTTTTCGGAATTAGTGTATAGAAACTTTCAGTTATGTTCGCAAAGTTTTAATAAAAGAAAAATATTAAACTAACGTTCAGATTTATATTTTTCCATTAGCTCGTGCGTCAATTCGTAAATGAATTACTGCAAAAACAGTACCTTTTATTGCTAAATGATAATTGATGGAAATGTCCAGCATCCGAAAACTCGGTTAAACGCCAAATTGAAACCAAGTTGTGAAAATAAGGCATTTCTATGAACTATAGTTTACGAATAAAATAATTTAATTCTTTGCAGTAAGACTACGGATTGCATTTACGAACTGACCCCCCGTATTGATAGCTCTACACTTCCAAATTTCACTTTTGAAACACTATTGAAATACCGTTTTTCTGGGACTCATATATTTAGAGTTGAAAATTTTTGATTTTTTTCAAACATATTCGTTACTGTTCGTCGATGTTTCACCACATTTTCAGTATTATATGCCAGAGCTATCTGTAATCCCAAAATTTCGGGATTTTTAAATTTTTGCGAGAAATTACTGTAAACTGCGGACTTCCGACTTATGCCGAATTTCCACTTGGCATTGAAATGACAAAAAATGTAAGCCATTTAAAAAATGCCATGTGGAAACAGACATACTGCAGACATAATTTTTTAATGGCCAACATTGTCATTAAAAAAGTTGTCATTTAATGCCTGCCTAGTGGAAATTCAGCATTATTTAGGCGAAGTAAAAAAAGTTGCGAGTATTTTGGCTGAACAAAAAAGTTTTCCTTTCGAACCCAAAGCACACCGCTAGCCATATTTATTAATAAAGGATAATTTTTTCTATTTTGGTATCATTTTAAATTTTTTCTTATTTCCTTTATTTTTTTGTAATGATACAGTTATGTTCATTAACCATCTTTGTTTTATCATTTTTAAATTGTTTTAAGGCGAAATTATTTTTTTTTGTTTGTTTAAATTTTTATTCGTATTTTCGTTTTTGATGTATGTATTTCTGTACATAAAAAAAATTTTGCGGGTTTTCCATCGCAGTTATACTATTTATTATATTACATTGTAAATCTTCACTGTTTTTTCGTCGGAATCATAAATTTATTATATTTAAAGATTTCCGCTAAAATATCTCGGAGAAATATTAAAGTTTACGAGAGCTGGACCGATTTAAAAATACCTTCTAAAATCTGATTATTTTGATTCCGCTGTGCTTCCGTTAAGCTTAAACTCTTCTTCATATGAGGTGATTTTTCCAAAGAAATATTTAAAAAAAACGAATTTTATTTATAAGAAAAATTGAATTTTTGGAGGTATTTTAAACTCGGTCCGGTTCGCAAAATCTAAAAAATTTTCCGAAATAGTTAGGCGGAGTCTAAAATATAATAAATTTTATAATTCCGATGGGAAAACTGGCAGTTTTTTTTTGTTTCAAATGCAGAGTGATGTACCCCAATGTACAAATGTAACTAAATGCTTTTTCATATTTTTTTTAAATTGTCGTTGTTCCTCCTACAAAAAAGTTTCCCTCTCGAACCCAAAACCGTCAACTAGTCACATTCCACGCTATACTTGCAATGTTTTTTTTAGATTTTGTTTTTTCATATATTTTTATAATTGCTTTAGCTTTGTTTTTATTATTTTTTAAATTTTTGTACTGCAACCTTTTTTAAATAAGAAAAATGTTTTATTTTTTTTTACTTTTTAAATTATTAAGTTTTTTATATTTTTGTGGCATTATTCATAATAAATAAAGTAGGTTTAAAGAGCTTTATAAAGTGACAGTTTCGCACAAATTTCCAAATTTAATATACCTATTTTAATTTTTTATTTTTGTTTTTGTTTTATACTCAAATTTATAAAAAATAAATTAGACTTTGCTAGATAATTTATAAATTGAAAATTTTTATGAAAATGTCACTTTATCAAGTTATTTTTTTTTATAAGGTCATTGATTTCTTTTTATATTTGCAATTATTTTTTATTATAGTTATTTTCTTTGATCTTTTTTTTTGTTTTTGTTTTTTTTGCTTTTTTAAATTACAATTGGCGCACAAATACGAAAGTTGTCGACAAATGACAGTTATTTGTTAGCATCCGTTCTCTAACATTATGTGGGTTTTAAAGTTACCTAGATAATGTAATTAATAAGCAGAAAAAAATAAAATAATACAAAAAATATTAAAGCACTGTTGGAAGGTGCCCTACAGTTACTACTATTTATTTTCTATTTAGTTAAATAAAAAATACATAAAAATTTAAGCGAAACAATATGCTGTGTAGCGATCCATTAAAAAAAATATTTTAAAATAAAATCTTAAATTTTTTAGCCATCTAATTTTAACAAGCCCTATCAAATAGAAAAAAATACGTTTCAAGGCCAGTATTTCGATTTATGTTTTATTCTTCGATACTCGTATTAGCACACACTGTTTACCTGATGACTCACTCGTCCGCTGCTATTTGCTGTATGCCTTTAAATTAATTCTACATAATTTATACTCTCAAATGTAGCTGAAAGTAATCTATTACGTTATGCATATGTAGGCACACCTACTTCTATATAGTACATATGTGGTAGTATAGTAGTGCGTTATGCGTATTTGTTTACAAGTTATCATTACCATTATTATTATTGTAACTATTGTACTAGTAAAATAAAATTTTTAATAATATATACCTATACAGAAAAGAAAAACATACACTTCGAAAATTATATACATACATACATACAGTACATTAAAACCTACAATTCTTAGATATCGAGATTTAACACAAAAATAAAGGTGAGCATAAAAAATATGTTTATTTGTATTAATATAAATTTTGGATTTAACAAAAATAAAAATAAAAGAATGACAAACACAACTAATGAGGTTGAACATTAAATATATACTTACATACATAAATTAAACGAAAATAAAAACCACGAAAAAAATTATGTACATAAGCGTTTCCATTCAGATAAGGGGCAAAGAAAAAATTTTCCTCCAAGAGAAGAGAAGAGCACGCTGGTAAGCGAAGTGTACGTGTGGTGGCAACACATGGCAGCTTGAGAAAGAGACGACTAGATATAGCTTTTATCTTGTGATGCCTATACATCAGTGACGAGCTTTTTCCCTGTGCACATCCATACAAAATGTATAGAAGCTCTCTGATTCGGCACTCTTGGTGAAAAGCTCCAACTGTCGTAATGGCCGAGTGAGCAAAGCACTGTTGTGCCTTTCGAGAGATTCGAGCTCGAAACATCGCGCAGCTATTTTTTTTACTATAATTTTCTTTTAATTTTTAGATTTCATTGTCTTGAAAAGAAACTTAAAATTAATTAAAATTTTTTAGATTTTATTGTAGTAAAAAGAAAAATAAACATTTTTTTAAATTGACTTAATTTGGGGAAAAAGAAAAATATATATATATTTTTTAATTTCATTAAATTTTCAGAAACGTATTTTATATATTTTTTTTAATTTTTTGATTAATTTTTTTTTCAATTTTATATTCCTTTTGGTTTTAGATTTTATGGTTTTATANTATTGTAGTAAAAAGAAAAATAAACATTTTTTTAAATTGACTTAATTTGGGGAAAAAGAAAAGTATATATATATTTTTTAATTTCATTAAATTTTCAGAAACGTATTTTATATATTTTTTTTAATTTTTTGATTAATTTTTTTTCAATTTTATATTCCTTTTGGTTTTAGATTTTATGGTTTTATAAAGAAAAATAAATTGTTTTCAAATAATACACATAATTATAGGGATCGTATTTTTTTTTGTCTTTTAAATTTGACTATGCTTATTTATTGATATGTTACCATGTAATAATTAGTTATTAACATCAATCAATATTCGAAAATATATTTTTTAAATTTTATTTAATCTTTAGAATCTAATTTTATTTGGTTTTAGATTTTGTTGTTTTAAAAAGAAAAAAAAATATTTTTTGATTTCATTTCATTTAAGAAAAAGAAAAAGATATATTTTTTTTTTATTTACAAAATTTTTAGCAACGTAATTCAGTTTTTTTTAAATTTCTTAATGAAATTTAATTTTTATTTTTTTCAATTTAATTTTCCTTTATGTTTTAGATTTTATTGTTTAAAAAAAAGAGCTTTTTTCATTTAATACACAAAATGTTTAGGATGTTACTTTATTTACTTTTTGTCTTTTTTTATGATATTATGTTAACATGTTATATTTAATTATTAATATTAATTAATATTCGAAGGACTATGGTGGGATGCAAGACAGTTGCAAGAATTGCCCTGTTAGTCATCACAGCAGGCATTTCAAGTTGAGAAATGCACTTTTATTTCACTATAACCTCACCCAGCTCTTTCCTCTTTTTTCTTTTATTTCATAAAAAAAAGGTCGTATATTTTATAAGGCTTCTTCATACTTTATTTTTACATATCACTCTAATTGTTTAACACACCACAAATATGTACTATGTATCTACTCTTTCATAAATCACTTTTTCTTAATAATTTTTTGACACAGTCTACACAACATCGTATAGTTATTCCACACTTAGTTCTAAGTCGCTGATAATATTGAGAATGGCTCATGCATAATTTCCAATATCTTAGCCTCAGGCACCGCCTCACCATTTACTATTAGCGTATACGTCAATCCATCCAATTTATTGCCACTCGAACGCGCTTGCAGCACAAATGCATTACCATTATCCATAAACTTTGTATCCGTGCCACCATCCACAAATTCGCCCTGCAACAGGTAGCACACATTAAAGTACATAACTCTTAAACCTTGCAAAAGCTTATTATAATTTTGCACTCACCGTTTCTGCACGCAGCTGATCATTCACATACAAATTAATCGTATCCAATTCTAACATTATACGATATTCGTTATCCTCAATGCTGACCAACCATTGACGATATTGTTTTGCCAGCTCATCCGTGTATTGCTCGTGTGGTTTGCCGTCGATATATAGTGAGTATGCATAGCGAAAACCTGGCGCTGGATCTACACGTATAATGCAACGTGCTTGTCCAATGTAAAATGAATCTTCGCCCACCAGTTTGAACATCCAGTCGCGTCGCAAGACTTCCTGAAACGAGAGAAGAAGAAAAAAAGTGATTATAGCTATATTTTCACCTTAAGAAGGGTTCATCGTTTCTGTCCTAACTTACCTTGCCATTAACCCATATCATTCGTCGACCTGTTGTGGTGCCATGTTCCAATTCGATGCGATACAATTTTCCATTTATTGGCGCACACCACTTGGCTACAATGTTGTTTTTGTTGTAACGCTTTTCTTCCGGTATGTGATCGAGTGTCATAATCGGTTCGTTGGGAAGGTTCTCCAATCTGAGCGTCGGCGATAGGAAGGACATTTCGGTGTGTAGCTTTTAGATGTGGCTTTAGCAAGAGTCTGGAAAAGTATTTAGAGAGGTGGCATATTTTAGTAAAATATAATAAATAAGGGAGATTGGATAGAATATTTGGATCTCAATTTAACATAAAGTCTACAGTCCCATACACCACAAAACCTTTCAAATGTTACCGCGAAGGAAACAACACATCTTCGCTCTTTCCGTATTCCTTTAACTGAAAAGTGTTTTGTATTATTTGCTATTGAAAATTGAACGTTTTAGCCATAATATGATGAAATATACTTATACCTTTTTTTACTTTTTTTTACAGCTGTGTGCATAAATTTAAAAAAAAAAAATTTAGTACTCTTATGTCGAAAAGAATACGATGGCCCAGTGAAACGAAATACTTCAAAATCGGAAGCGATGCTAATGTTATTCATGGTGAATGGGGTGAGTTGACTTTTAATTTATTTTCAATAAACTTGTACACTTCTTTAATGTCAATGTTTCCATATACTAAATAGTATCTTATCACCATAAAAAGTTGCGGGTATTCCACCGGAATTATAAAATTTATTATATTTTAAGAATGGTGCCAACATTTTTCGGAAAAAGTTTTAAAATTTACTTCAGGTAGACCGATAGATCCAAAAATCTAGCTCTTTGTATTCCGTTTATCAACGTTTAAACATTTTTATGCAGACCTTTAAAGCTTAAACTCTTCTATCATCTGTGATCATTTTTTACAAAAATATTTGTGAAAATTAATTGTATTTATAAAAAACTCGATTTTTGGAGGTATTTTCAAAACAGTTCGGCTCACATAAATCTTAGTATTTTTTCGAAATATTTTGGCGAAATATTAAAATATAATAAATTTGACATTTCTGCTGGAAAAACAGTACCGATTGTCTTTGTATAGAGAGTGAGGCACCCTTGTGTACATACAGCGTTGGAAAAATAAGTACCTAGGGACGCGACATTTTAGCAAGTTTTGCTTATTTTTCTTTTGTTTATTTAATATTTATTATTTTTTTATTATACAAGTATAGCTCAGTATCTTACAAAAACCATATAAATGCATATTTAAAACTTTGTGCAAAAAGAATAAAAAATTTGCAAAATTTTGTTAATTTTTAATAACTTTTTTCTGACGTTTCTTGATACAAAAAAAAGTTTTCGAACATATTTTGTAACACTTTGTATGAAAGGAAATGCTTAAGAAAAGTGCCAAATATCAACGGGATTTTTTAGGTACTTAAAGCTTACGCTATAATTTAATGGGTTATAAAACCGCGTACTCAAAAAAATTAAAAAAAAATCTTATTAATAAGTTAAAAGTTTAAAATATGAATTTATATGTTTTTTTTAGATAATGAGCTAAACTTATGTAAAAAATAATCTTATTACATTAAACGAGCATATATATATATATGCATAGGGTTCTCGGAAACGGCTCTAACGATTTTGATGAAATTTTGTACGCAAATAAAGTTTTGGATTTTAAGGTTATCTGAATAGGCACTATCTCCGAGAAGACTCGTATAAGGTTGCCACCTATTCGAAATTACTTACAAATTAACTAAAACATCATAATATGGGTATTAAATGGAAGGTATTTTAAAGATCCCTAATTCAAAAATATTTTAATAGGTTTGCCACCTATTTTGAATCGCATACTTATTTAACCTTTTTTTTTAGAAAAAAAGGTAAAATATTACTGTTCCCGGGTACCGAGAGCAGGTTCTTAAACAACCCCTCCCCCCATATACAAAATTTTATCCCTTAGGATAATAGTGTAAGGTTGCCAACTATTTTCGATTCTACACAGTTTATCTAAAACATCGCAAAATGGATATCAAATGAAAGGTATTGTTGAGAACTTTGGTCAGAAAATATTTTCTATTAGGGTTGCCACCCTTCTACATGTGTAATACAATTTTTTATTTTGTTAATTTCAATCGGCATTTTTTTTATGTATACACAGTATGTACATATTCGCTCAAGATATGTACCATTAATTCCAGCTATTTCAGAATAGGGTTGGCACCTAAATTTTGGAGTAAGAAATTTACTTAATAGATATCGAAATCCAAGTTTTTTCTTTTTTTCCAAAATGTTGGATGCTGGACATAGGAGTATTTTCTTCACGAAATTTAACTTGGCCTTTTAAGAATGTATCATTTGTATGTAAATAATTAGGTGGTTTACAAGGTGTCGCAAATGTCATATTGTCGTATGTTGCACTTGAAAGCGCAACCAACTATTTTTTAACAGTGTGAAATTCCATAATATGACTTGATCACACTGCATCCTTCGTCGAGTAATCAGAAGGCTGCACAATCACCCGAAATCTAGTTTAGATCTTAGTTTTATCAGCGAAAGATGTCCGTTAGCCATCGGGAAGGCAGACGCTTCTAAAGCCATTGGCGCTGACAGATTATGCATGTTGATATTAAAATAATCTCATAGACTCAGTTGGGGTATTCACAACGGTGTCGTAAGTGTCGTATTGTTATATGTCGTAAACTTTAAACGCCTAAAAAAGAAGAGTGGTCCCACTTCTGAAACCATGGAAAACAGCCAAGAAATAGGATTATTATCGTCCGATAACTATCTTTTCCCCAGTAATGAAGACACTTGCGGTATTACTACTCCCGTACTTTATGTGTGCCACCAGACCCACGCTACTCATGAATATGGTTTTTCTAAAGTGCACTTTAACTCCATAAACACTCTGTTAGCCATAACTGTAACCCTGACTTCTCTTGTGAGATAACTGTCCTAGTAGTGTTGCACTTGTCCAAGGCCTTTTGTATCGTTTTTAATTCTCCGCCACTAGAGAAAACTGCGATATTCAGTCAATAGCGAATTATCTGAGTGGTCGTTAGTCAAAAGTACTCTTTCAAGCTTAAACCTTGAGGCCCACCGGGTCCAATCACCACTGTTTAGCTTCTACATCTCGAAGCTTCCTCCGCCACCACAGGGAGTTTTACTTTTATAACGGGCTGATGACTGCTCACCTGGAATGAAACTGATGACCTGTGTTTGAAAGCATATATCTATTTACGATCTTTCTCGTTTCTTCACTGCTCTGACCCCATAACCCTCTCCTCTGCTCAATTAACGACGACGCTTTTAACCCCCTGCACGTCAAAGATCAAGATGCAATTAGGCATCTTCATCGGCGTCACACCATTACCGACAGTTAATAATACCAAATTTTAAGGGATTACCTTAGAAAACTTGCTTCCATTATCCCCCTCAGGGAACATAATTTCATGTTCGGCAAGCAATTTCTGCCTGATACCGCGGGGAACCCCCGAACAGACACTTGTCCAACGCTCGGGGTTTTACAGATAGGCCATAAACCACATTAATCGAGAGACAAGCATCAGCTTTCTCAACCTTAGCCCCGTGAATGCCGCCATCAGAGTTCAACCATCACTCATTGCAAATGAAAAGCTTCAGCTGCCTCGAGAGATGCGCGTAGCTCAGGCGCTACTAAGGGAGACAGCGTTTGATCGGTGGAACAGCAGCGCTTGATCAGGTAAAACCTAAGTCATTTCGGTGCCTAGAAACGACTATTTTAGGAATGTTGCTTTGAGGAGAAAAAGTACAGTTTTAAGAGGGCGAAAGCATATCCTTCTCGTTATCTGCGCGATTAATCGTACGGCCTCTTGTTCAAGTTCCTAAATTGATCCAATATATTCAAACAATACCCTTCTTTGCTCTTGCTGAAACGGTGGCCTTAGACATGGATTAGACAAGGATTCGATACAGTTAAACGGTTTGTTTGTTAATTGTATCGTTAATGCAGGCCGCCGTAGTGTTGTGGCTAGCAGTGCGCGCTTCCATTCGAGGCAAAAAAACTAAGTTTTTTCTAATAACGGTCGCCCCTCGGCAGGCTCTGGCAAACCTCCGAGTATTTTCAAAAAAATTTCCAAACCTCTCTAGGAAGAAGTTATTATCAAACATAGAAGAAAAAATTATCAGACATTATTTTATATGCAGAAAATGAGCGACACCTTCAACAAAAAAAAATTCCTAAAAATCAATGGTAAGTCCTAGCCACCACAAACTTGCACTTTGTTATACTAAAATTGAATGGGCTAAAAAACTGCATACCCAACTTCTTTCTAGAGAGCGTAAATAAAAAGTGCAATATTTGAATGAAATTTTGCGGAATTTTCTTTAATTTTGCACAAGGTTTGGAACTTTTCTTTTTGGGGTTTTTGTTGTAGAATTAACCATATTTTTATAAAAAATTTGCGAAAAATAAAATATTTAAAAAATAGTTGCCCGTATTGTAAAAAATTCGCTGTACCTAAACTTTGTTGACTGACTGTATGCAAGTTCAATCAAATATTAATTTTGAACATTTTGTTTTCTTCAAGAAAATTTGTGAGATCTCGAATGCTTTTTTGTTCCTAATGTCAATATGAGCAGCTGTTAGTGAGTAATTAACTGCGCTTGCTACCAAATCTTTTGTAAACACAAAGGGCCTTCTTCTTTCTTCTTCGTTTACTTATCCTCTATAATTTTTTTTTTCTTATTATCAGCTATTGAACTATAGATGAAGCTATATTGCCGTCTAGTCTAGTAATAAAAAAAATGCTTTGTAATATTTTCTTTGCACTGGCAAATCAACAAACATGCGCACACACATACAAGTGTAATCCATATTTTAGTAGTATAATCCTTTGTACTTTTCTGCATTCGTTTGTTTGTTTGTATGCAAGAGTTCTTGTGAATGCACTGTAACTGCATACATATGCACATATGTACGTACGACAAACATAAATAACTATAAAATCAATAGCTATACATACTGTCATGAATGAATGAGTAACAAAAAAAAAAAACAGACGGCAAGAACAAAATTATTTTCAGATAATTAAATGNCTGCATACATATGCACATATGTACGTACGACAAACATAAATAACTATAAAATCAATAGCTATACATACTGTCATGAATGAATGAATAACAACAAAAAAAAACAGACGGCAAGAACAAAATTATTTTCAGATAATTAAATGATTAGGCAAACAACATATGTATGCACTTGTCATATTAGTGTGTGTAGTAGGATGGTACTCCCGTATGTACATATGTTTGTACATTTGTTGTGGTGTGGGAAAGTCTACTGCTGTTTTATAAAAGCCTATACAGAATAAAAGGTTAAGGAAAGTTCGCGACGAGGATTTTTGCTTTTACAGTGAATTCCGCTTAAGTAAGCTTCCGGGAGAATTTACTTTATTTTGTGCTTTCTGCGATTTAAAGGGGCTTATAAGTGAAGAAGTATCTACAAATATACATTTTGACTTACAGCTTATATTTAAAAATAAAAACTGAAAAAAGAACGATTTCTAAAATTTTTTTTTTTATTAAAAATTGGCAAATGGCTTAATGAGAAGCTTTTTAAAGGCAGAATACACTCGGAGGTTTGCTATTGCCTGCCAAGGGGTGACCGTTGTTAGAAAAAAACTTCTTCTATTTTAGATGTTGCTCGGACCACGGTTCGAACCCAGCGGGTCTACCCTGTAATGCGATGCGAAAAAGAAATGCGATGCGATAGGCAATCGTCACAGCATATTACTTACGGCGTATTTACCTTTCGCATAGTATTGCTCTTTCGTATCGCATTACAGAGTAGCCCGCCTGGTCTCACGATGTGGTACAGCCACACTTCAGCTATATTAAAAATACAAATTTTAAGCAACAAATTTTCAAGCAAAAACTGCTGCACCCATTAATAAAAAAATGGAAATATTATTTTTGTGTAGGTGGTATGTACATATGTATGTAGTAGTAAGTATTTTATGACAAAAATAGTTTTGTGTAAATTTAATAACTTAATTTTTTCTAAGTTATTGATCAACGTTTTCTTAAGAAACACATTATCACTCAAAACCTCTGCTGTTAAAAAAAATATAACTACCTGATATTTAACCTTTTCATAAAATTTACTCTAAAATCTTAAACAAAAACTCAAATTCACTCAAAAACTGACTGAAAATGAGAAAAAGATTAAAAATATAAAAAAAAATTTAATTTTTCACCAAAAATTAAACTTTTATTTAATAATTTATTCAACAAATCATAGATACTCAAAAAACAAAATTATAACTTTTTAATAATTGCTCTCCTTTAAACTGACATTATCAATTAAAAAATGTTCGACACATGCGATTGAGTTAAAATATTAAAAACTTAAAATATATTTTTTGGTTTCACTCAAAAAATTTGTAAATATACGAGCAACTATTTTCTTAAAAACATATTTACGAACTTGCCTTATCATTTATTTTCGCTTTCCTTTTCCTTTTAGACAATATACTTTTTTTTTATTTCAATAAATAACATTCTCACTCAAAAAGTGGCTTGAGAAACCAACCCAAAAACAATAAATAAAAAATTATTTGTTATTGATTCTACTCTTGTAAAAATCGTGTTTTCACTAAAAAAAAGACTTGAATAAAATTTCCTCTCAAAAAAAGTGTAAAAATTTAAGAAGAAAATTCATACATATTTAATATTTATTCTCCTTTTGTTAAAAATCGCTTTTCCTCTTTAAAAAAAATTAAAATAAATATATGTACGCACTTTTGCAAAAAACAGATTTCTACTCAAAATAACATTAAAGTCAGTATAAAAATCAGTAACATATACTCTTTTTTCGACTTTTATCTGCTTCCATTGGTTTTACTTCATTTTCCTCCAAAAAAGCCTTTTACACAAAAAAAATCACTAAAAATCAATAAATATACAGTATCGGTCATATCAATAGCACTCCATTTCAAAATGATACTGTTTAGCACGTATGTTAATATTAACATCATCGTACAAAATAAAGACATCCACGAAAATTTCAAAAAAATGTTTAAGGTCGCTACGACGGTCTGAAAAATTTGAATTTTTATAAAAACTCGCAAAAAAATTTGCCTTTGACTAGCTATGTTTATGAATTTATATGAAATAGTATTTGTCAAACTTTTGCTTTTAAAATAATCAGCCTCATTGCGTAAGTCGTTAATTAGGTTAAATTGTACGACTCGACAACAGCAGCATTGTCTATTGTCGTACTGAAATAAGTAAACGACCAAAAGCGTCGAAAACTATACAGTGCTGCCAAGGTTTTCCGTTTTAATACACTAGTAGAGTGGAAATTTTAGGCAATGACGTGAAATTTTCGATACGATGCGACTCTCGAAAAAAGACTTGCATTCGACACGACTCTCACAATGAGGGTCAATTTCAGATTTTTTGAAACCCTGCAGCGATCGCTAAAAATTTGTTTAAAAATTTTAAATTTTCGTGGTTGTCTTTATTTTGGACGTATAATAAAATACAAGGATACCCATACAAAATTTAGATATTGACATTTTTAAGGACCACCCTAGTGTGATACATACATATGAATGTATACCGCGATTTATTTTCGATTTCGATTTATTTTTGTAAGCTTTCGTTATATGTATTTCAACCAATCACATTTTCACTCAAAAACCGGAAATTACAAATGTAAATTTTTTTTCTTATATATGTAATTCCTATGATAAAAAATACAATCTAATTCTTCCGACGTTTCAAGCAATTTAAAATCATATAAAATTTAAAATAAAAGAATGAAATTGTTCACAATTGTTGTTTGAGATTGAAAATGAAAATGTATAAATGAGTTGTAAGTTTTGAGTTTTAAAATTATATTGCTGGAAAATGTCAGACTGTCGCTCAATGGTTTTATCTTGTAATGTTTTTATCATGATATTTCCCATATGCATTCTATTTTCACTCCAAAAGGATCTTAAAAAAATAAAATTTTGCAAAAAATTTTTCGAGAACACATTTCTACTCAACATAAATACAAATTATTAAAGAAATTTTTAATATTTACTGTTTAATTTTTCGTTTTTAAATAAAAAACACATTTGAATTAAAAAAAAAATAAGGAAAAAATTCACCAAATCCACGATTGTGTGTAATTTGGTTTAAAATATCTATTTTTCGTTGAAAATCACAATATCACTAAACAAAACTAAAAACAAAAAAAAAATCAATTTTTCACTTTTCTAAAATACCGCTTTAGTAGAATTCTTTTTCGTTTAAGAATTTTAATTTCATTCAATTTCAACAAACTATGTATAAACATATTTCGCACTCACTTTTTGGAGTTTATGAAATTTAAATTACAATACGCTTACAAATGGCTTTACTCAGTGCTTATACAAATTCACAATTAAGCCACTAAAAAAATTTGCAATGTTTTTTTTTTGTCTACCAAACCTTTGACTTCACAATCCTTTGAGTTTTTTCTACTTGGCTTTCGCTCACACGCCGCTTTCTAAATATTCGAAACCATTTCGTTGAGCCGTCAGTAACGTACTGAATGTGAATGGTCGGTCTTTGGTGAAAACGTTGTTAGCGCCTTACGGTATGCAACAGCGAACACATATGTGTGTATGGGATTCGTACATTCGTCGTCCACTAATAAACTATTATTCGCGCTGTTCGATGCCGTTGCTTTTGTCGTTGAAAGTCGCCTTCAACCTCTATTCCTGACGTCGTGGTTGTTGAGTTGCTTGCATCGACCACGCTAATAAGTATGTACATATGTAGCGGAGCTAGATACTGGTGGCAGCAATGAAAAGTGGGCGCCAAACTGTTTTAGCCAACCGGCAAGTTTCGATACATAGCGCATTCATATACATTTGTATGTATGTATGTATATGTCGTAATACATACATACTCTACTAGGAGTATCATTGCCACAATTGCCAAGCTGGTATGGATATTTTTTCCAGTTTGCCCGATTGGAAAGTGCTTTTCGGGTACTTTTTTTTTTGATTAAAAATTCAAGAAAAAAAATTCACTTATTGATGACCCTGTTTATATATGAAAGAAAAAGTTATAAATCTTTATTAGAGCAACAGAAGTCAAATCAAGAATTTTTAGAATTTTTGTCTGTCTGTCTGTATGTTTGTATGCGCATCACTCGATAACTTATGCATGGAATTGAATGCATCTTTCACCGATATATTGCTTAAGGTCCAACTTAAAACATAGAAGTAAAAAAATGAGGCAGTTGCCACCTGTTTAAAAATTGCAGTTTAGGTAAATTGATAAGATAAATTAAACATTGCAATATAGCTGTCAAAAGAAAAAAGGTTTAAAAGGGCTTACAGCCGAAACAGTTTTATGGAAGGTTGCCAACTATTTGAAAACTTCGGTTTACTCGTGGTATTCTTTGGTTGAAGCTTTCCAGGCGATTATAATTTTTATACACAGTGACTCAAACAAGTGATACCGTTTTGACTTTCTTAAATATTCACAATGTTTTTCAAATTAACTTTTTTTATTTTTCTATAAAAATATTACCCAAGCCTTTATGAAAACCATATAAATCAAAGCTTGAAACTTTATATAAATTTAGAGAAATTCAAAAAATTTTCATCAAAATTTTGAGTTTCTAATCTGAACCTATAGAACATTTTTAGGTACGCAATTTCATAGCGCATACAATTTTAGTCCAATGAAGTGCAAATTTCATGCATCTAGGAAATCGCGTTGATTTTTAATATTTTTTTTTTGCTGACGGATTTTTGCACACTTTCCCAAAAAAACATGAATTTCTTGTAAAATAAAAAGCGCAAGACTGTAAGCAACAAAATTTCAAAACATCAACGCCAGTTTTTGTAAATTGCACTTGTTGCAAAAAAAAAAAAATTTTTAAAAGCGGTCACTAAAACAAATTGTAAAAAAATCAACGCGCTTTTTTAGGCGCTTCAAGCTTGCACTTCAATGGACTAAAATTATATGCGCTGTAAAACTGCATGATCAAAAAATGTTCTGAAGATTCAGATTAAAAAAGCTCGAAATTTAAAAAAAAATGTGTTGAATTTTCATATATTTTGTATGAAGTTTGACCCTTTGTAGTTTTGGTTAAATATTTAAAAAAAATCAACACCTGAATACTTCTTTGAGTCACTGTATAAATGTAGATTTCATTGACTTCGGTTGCACATAAATCTCTTACCCAGTTAAAAAAGAACAACGATATTTAATTTCTAAGTCAATAAATTCCGCGAGGGAATTTGGCTCCAAAATATTTGAGTATACATATAGGCGCACAGTGCCATTGCCAGCTATCAGTCATACAAACATATGCACGTATGGATGTGTGTTGATTAAAGTACATGTATGGTAAACATTCATATGTGTATGTATGTACTAGAGACCTGCACGAGTGATTCCGGCATCGTATGAGTACGAGTGCTAGTAATCTTTTTATGAGTACAGCGATGATATGAGTATGCGACATCATAGCATCAGACGATTACTATTTTGGCATAGCCGTAAGCTCGTCACGTGGCAAAAAAGTTAAGCGAAATGCAACAAATACACATGTTTGAAACATCTCGTCATTAATAATGAAATAAATCAAAAGATTTAATAATTTTCCGCCTAAAAAAAATAACTAATTGTAAAAACCACCTTTATTGAACTTTTTATTTAATTTTATAATTCATATTTTAGAGATTTGTGTTGAGAACGCACATAAAATAAAATTGCATCCAAGCTTTAACTTTCTAAATATATTCTTCTGCCCTATAAAATGCGCTTTTCAGAACTACTTCAGGCGTTCAGGAATTTACAATTTGTTTAAAGCTTTTCCATATGTCACTGGGCCTGTTGCTCCAATCGCGAGTATTTTGTTTAGCACTTCTTCTTCAATCAATTTTTAAGTTTTGTCGTTTTTACACATACTTCAAATCAAACTTCGCTCATCGTAAACGTCTCATATGAAAATGATGGTATGAAAAAAATATCCGTTTGCTACCAAGTAAAACGATGCTTTGCCTACGAGATGTCTAATTTAAATTCAAGTATTATCATCGTTTCTTCTATTCATACTCGGCGATTATTAACTTGTTATATTTTTACTTACTCGTGCAGGCCTCTAGTATGCACATATGTAGAAGTACATAAAGGGCGTAACGTCAATGGTATGAGTATTTATTGCGCTGAGTTGGCGCGCAACTTTAACTGTCTTTTCAATGCTGCTCACATCATTTGTTCTTGTACTTTCCTTCCTTCATATTTTGGCTCTTGGCTTAGAGCACCTAAAGTTCATTTGTTTATTTATTCCTATGTTTGTTTGGCTGTTTGTTTTTTTTTTTTCAGTTTTGATGTGCAAGTATGGACTGGCCTCTTTGTGGCTACAATAAATACAAACAGAAATGCAAGAATTTATACACACATACATACAGAAATAAAGATGTATGTACATACCTGCATATGTGGCAACATAAAAAGTTTGGCTTGCAAGGTTTTCTCCCTAAGTGTTGTTCTTCAAATTTTATTTATATAATACTTGGCTGCAGTAGGTTACCTCTTAATTTGGCTATTATAACGGTAAATTTGCTACTTTCACACGAATGCAAATTTAAAAAAAAAAAGTTTGTGGTATGATAGAGGGGAAGGACGAAGGAGTTACTTGCAGTTCAATATTTTTGCCAACGTAATTGGCGCGTTAACTGTCTAAACCAGTGCTCGTCAAACTTTTGAGTGTGACGGACCGGCTGCAGTTTTTCTATTACGTCGGGGACCGGTACCTTTTTTTATTGATTATTTTTCGTTTACGATCATCTCATATATAGATCAAAGAAACTAAACAAAAGAAAGACACATGTATCAACACATTGCCTCTTGGTTCCACGAAAAACAAACGGTATTTGTCGTTACTTTTTGTATGTGCCAGTGTTGTTAGTTAGAAGCAGGGTACGAAAATAAACTGTACAAAACAATTCCCATTTGCTCATCGATCATCATATCATTTGTGGTTTTGTACAGTTTTGTACATAGTCAGAAATAAATTGTAAGATTCACTGTCATTTTCCCCAACGAGAAACGTTTGCTTTTCGTTTGTGACAATTGTACCATAGGGTAGGTTTTATATGTATGCGAACGTTTCAATTACGTGAAGAATACTTTTTTCTGTAAATTTTCATATCCAATTAAATTAAAAAACATTTTTATTTTTTTTATTCATTGCAGCCATTCGTTTTTTATTTAGTTATTGCATATATGTACATACATACATATATTTTTCTCTGCACGATTCATTTCGTTTGTTGTTTCGTCTGTAACTACTAAACTACTGTAGTGTACTATCGCCAAAGTGAACTCAGCCGTTTTGTTTTCGTATTGTACCGAACTGTTGAAGTAATAAACGAAACGAAATAGTAACGTACAATATAGTTTATTTTCGTACACTGGTTAGAAGCAAGGCGTCTTAATCGAGGTGATAGCAAATGAACAGCTGATCGTTAATTTGAACAGGTGATTTTGTGTTGGAGATGTCAAACTAGGTTACTTTGCTTTGTTCGTTTGTGTGTTCGCTTGTGTTTTGACTTAATATTTTGACATCTCGGACGTGAAATTTCTAGTGCTACTACCATGTAGATAATTGTACCATGGTTAGAAGTGTGGAGTATACATATAGTCGTATATGTATATATAATCGTTTAAAAAATCGTTGTCCATTTCGCGACGCCCTTTGCGGACCGGCGACTTATGGCTTACGGACCGGCACCGGTCCGCGGACCACCACTTTGACGAGCACTGGTCTAAACGATTTTTGGCTGAGTTCAGCAAAACGCGGCAATTGTTTTTAGATACGTGTGTAAATTTGAAAAGCAGTCTACACTCACTTGTGTTAAGAGAAATGTTTGTATATATAGAAATATTTTTAGTCGACGTAACTAAACTCTTTTATCGGTGTAGTTCTCGCACTTCCACGTAACTTGAGCCGCCTAAAAGCGTATGGTAGCCTAAACAGGATTTTTCATTACGCTGGGTTTGTAGTTTCTTACGGGTTACTTGTGTCGTGTAAAGTCGACTTGAGGGTGAAGCAGGTAGTCGGCGAGTCCTACCTGATAGCTCAAATATTTGCTCCATCGACTATATTTCATGAAAATTGAATAATGGGTGATTGGTGCAAATTCGGAAAGGAGTGACGAAATTACAAAGCAAAATATGTATAAGAACACGAATTTGATAGATTTGTCAGCGTTGGAAATTTCGGTCTCATTAGTGTGATGAATTCATCTTATAAATTGTAAATTTAGTAAACGACAAGAAATCATGGATGCCTAAAGAGCTAAGGGCCGCCAATCAACCAAAGAAATTAATGCTAAAAGTAACATCTTCCTGCCCTCGCCAAGACAGGCAGCTTGGAGACTACTCAATGTCTTCGACTTCTTCTTCGTCGCAGAAGCTAAAAGCCCCTATTGCAGCAGCTTAATGGTGGATGCTGTGGTGAAACAGTCTAAAGATCTGCTACTCAGCTGCCCAGATTTTGCAAGCTT